TGATACTGCATTTGGGCTACCTTCTGAGTTATCTTCAAAGGCAGCCCCAGGTAGAGCATGTTACAATAGTCTATCTGTAAGGTGGAAAGGACATGAGTTACTGTTGATAGATCCTCTGGGTCCCCAAAGGCCTGTAATTGGCAGCACCAAAGTTGAACAAAGGTCCACTTGACACAGCCTCCACCTGCTGCTGTCAGTAAATAAACAGTATATAATATAATGAGCTATTTAACTGAAATATCAATTTTTCCTATCATTCTACCTATTGCCACCTTCAGTTTACAAAACTGTTTTCTCTCTCATCCCCCCAATACTTTTACACTAATTATCTAGAATTTCATTCATCAATATATGAAGATAAAGGCCATTTATTTTGTTCACATTAAAACTACAATTATTTATTCCTGATCAAGCATATAACCAGCAAGTAGGAAATGAAGGGGGATAACTGTCAAGCTTGTTGGCAAGACTTCAGCAGAATTGTCTGGACGCTTGGTATGGCATGGGTTGACTAGGCTCTACACTTATACTCAGCTTAACACTCTCCAACACAAAACAGTATGGGTATCTTTCCTACATCTAGAAACAAGCTGCTTCAGTATTGTACTGGTATACAGTAGATTGCTCTTTATCAACATGAAGGTGCAGTTCCCTCCTAACACCCACTACAGTTTAATTTTGGCACTTCTTTATCTCAACTTTCCTATCATTTAGGAAGTCCCTCAAGACCTGGTTGTGTCATCAGGCCTGGGAGTCTTTGGGAACCGGAGACATTCTCCACTGTAACTGACATTCTGCACTCTGCATGGGGTTTGTATATTTTAAACCTATTTTTTTAATGTGATAATGTTTTTATTTTAATAACTTTTAATCTTTTTATATGCCTGTTTTTATTCATTGTTGTACGCCACCCAGAGTCACTTTGTGTGAGATGGGCGGCTATATAAATGTGATATATAAATAAACAAACAAACAAACAAACAAACTTTCTCTTGGTTTAATTTTCCCCTTGCATTTCTTGGCCCTGAAGTTGATTGTTACCTTTTCGTCATGAGACACTTTGTCTCTCAAATTATTTCCTACGATAACTTTTTTACCAGTTTTCTTCATTTCATTTCATTTTTCTTCTTCCCTAATTTATATAAAGTACATGTGTAAAGCTCATTTCTAAGCAGCCTTCTGAGGATGCAGCTGGTTCAACGCTTTGAAGAGGAAAGGTGCTTTGCTTGTGCTAACATGCTTTAAGAACTGACTTCTCTGAATGTGTTGCACAATCGTATTATCTATCAATGTGTATGTTTTAATGTTATATTTAAGATGTGTCTACAACAATTTAGAAAAAAATGTTATCTTTCTAAGAGTTAGCATTGGTTTGTCAAGAATAAATTATGGCAAACTAGCCTAATTTTTTTTCATGACAGAATGACTAGTTTGGTGGACTAAGGGAATGCTATGGATGCAACATGCCTTGATCTCAATAAAGAATTTTGACAAGGCTCTTCACAATACTGTGGGGGAAAAGATGCATATACGTGGGCTGGATGGTGCTTTCATCCAGGGAATTTGCCACTGCTTTGAACAGTCATACCAACCATGTTCATAAATAGTTCTGCATTGTCCTGGAGGGAAGCATCAAGCTACTGTCCTTGGCCCAATGCTATTCAATATTTTTATAGATCACGGAAGGGAAGTGTATCAAATCTGCAGAAGACATTAAACTTCAGAAATTCACTAATACCCCAGAGAACATATTCATAGTTCAAAATTATCTCAAAAGGCTTGTAAGTTGGGCTAGTTCCAACAAATGATATTTAGCAATGACAGGTGCATGCTCAAATATATTGGTGCAGAGATGTTGAGAACTGGCTTGTTGGCAGTACATATCAGAAGGTCTAGGAATACTAGTGGACCAAGCTGAAATTGTAGGTTGTAAGGCAGCAACTAAAAAGACTAATGGATCTTCAGCTGCATAAACAGTAATATGAGTCTAAATCATGGGAAATAATTAGCCTATACTGGTTGGGCTGTATTGTGGACTTAATTGTTAATATGGTGGATTCTAGGCACATCACTTTAATATGGAAATTAAAAAGCTGAAGCATGTTCAGAGGATTAATACTAGAATAAGGTATCTGGAAACCAAGCTTAGGAGGAATGATTAATGGAGCTGGGCATGTTCAGCTTGCAAAAGAGCCAGTTAAGGATAGATATGAGAGCAATCTACAGATAGTGAAAAGTCTTCAGGGGATAGACCTGTACTGTGGGAAAATGCAGCAGAACAAGGATCAATGGTTTGAAATAACAGGAAGAGTTTTCTGAGAGTAAGAGCTGATAAGCAGTGGAACAGTCTGCCTGGAACAGTGGTGGATTTTTACTTGTTGGAGATATTTAAATGCAGGCTAGATGTGTTGGGAATGATTTAGTGGATTCTTCACTGAGCGTGGTATTGGACTAAACAACCTTTAAGTCCTCTTCCAAGTCTTATATTCTATGATGGTTTATGCCAAAAATAATTTTACATTTATAAATGTCTGAACAATATAGACTATTTCTAAATAAAACCTGTAATATAACTCTAAAGAAAAATTAAAGAGCAGCATTCAATAGTCCAATAATTTGATGGAATTCTTCCTATAAATTCTAGTACACTCTCAATGCACACTGCAATGGACTAAAGAACCTCCAAAGCAGATCTTGAGGGCACAAAAGATACAGTAGGAGGAAGAACAAGGAAATCATGTTACGTAGTATTTTGACAATAAGAAGTTATATTAGAACTCAATGCTAGAACACAAAGAACCACGTCTGCTTATCCTTGAGCTGTATTTTTCTATGCTGGTTAGCTCATTTTTTTAAAAAAAGTATTTTTGAGTGAGAGGAGTTTCAGCAATCTGCTATTTGCCACAGAGGTCATTTCTTCAAACAACTCAAAATTCTGCTAAATGAGCACAAAATTTTGATTTAAGCAAATCTTCACACTCCCTCGTGTTCAGCAATGAATAAAAACATTAGGTGTTTACTAGCTTGGGTTCTATGTGACTGGAAGAGATGTTCACCAAAATGTGCAGCAGCAACCTCTTGTGGTCTGAATGAAATAACGTATCCATAAGCACAGGAATGAATATGAATATATTAAATGTATAATGTCTTCGTTAAAACATCACACGTGAAGTATTTTTTCTTATATAGAAAATATCTGCAGAGAGCTTTTGCCTCACTAACATATAATCTTATGAAACATAACCTTTTCTTTGACTACTAAACATAGTTGGCAGATGTTTCTAAGAACAAAAAATGTCTTAGTACAGAATATATAAGGAAGCTTTTCTGCCATATTGTGTGAGATGAAGTTTATTGCAGAGACCAAATCAATCTCTTTAACAAGCTGTAAAATACATTGGCAAAGTACATTATGCCATAGATAAAAAAAGTTACAGCTTGAAACAATAAGTACTTTGATCTTTCAAGCTTTGGTCTTAAAGCTTTAGAAGGTATGCATAATCTGTTATTTATACCCTTTTCACAGAAAAAAGTCTTGCTGGATATTTCAGTGCTGATGTAATGGTTGTAAATATGATTATGGAATTTTATTAATATGGAATTCTGAATAATGAACATGAAAGCTGCTAAGAGTATACTTTAGTTATAAACCAGATTTTTCTCACATGAGACTAGTCTTTGTGCTACTAACATTGGTTATTTTTCTTTGCTTTTTTCTGACTATTATGCCAGTGGGTTTTGGGGACGTGCCCAACTGACTGACTGATATTTATCTAGTAGGACTTGGCACAAAAAGCAATTGTTTAATATCTACTAAGTATATCACCAACTCTCTGCAGGGCCTAGTACTACAGGAATTGCTCTTGCTTCTGGCAAATTTACAAAGCCTCCAATGGTCCCTTCAAAAAAGAAAGCTTTTCTAAGAGTGGAATTGATTAGTGAATAATTTATTACATAATGTATTTGTCAAAAATAGAAGGAAGAAAAACATTTCCAAGTATTTTTAAATACAAATATTATATTCTTGTTTTTTTCCCCCTAATCCTCATTCATTCATTCCTAGAAATATTGTCTCCATTTTTCAAAATATGCATTGTAAAATTAATTACTAAGCTATATTTGCTCAATACATTACTTCATCCAGTGTAATATTTAAAACATGTCAAATCTTTAAAAATTACCCCCTCCCTCCCCAGTTAACATTGTTTAACAACTACCTAATGGTAAAGAATTCTGAAAATCGCTTATCTCTAGAATTATAATGTATTATATGTATATGAAGCAGAATGTGTCAAAGCACAAATAATATTATTTGTACCCTTGAAGAATTAAAAATCCTTGGTTGGCACAGATATAATGATCCTATGCAGCTAGCATTACAAATTGCAAAGATTTACTGATCAAGAAAAGGCAAGGCCAAAGGACAGAATTTCTTCACTGCTCTGTTCTTAAATGATTCTGACTTAAATATTTATTAAGATATTAATAACTTTCTTTATCTTTCTTCAGACATGCCCAAATGGAAACAATATATTACAGGGCAATGATACAATCATATAAGATAAAAATCAGCATTTTGTTCTCTATAGTATTAGTTTACTAGACAAATAAATTAAAATATAGAGGTTTATGGTACTGCATTCCCAAGAAAACCTCTTCCCATAGTACTTTGTGAACTTATAAACTAAGCTATGTTTAAAAAGATTTTTCAATAAACATATCCACTTAAAAACCCACTTCATACACTGTATTTCACAACACTGCTATCTTAGGAATGTCTAATATCTTTCTCTGGGGTTTACTTCAAATTTCTCTTTGAAATTAAACACATTTTTCTCTACATTTTCATATTTAGGGATAATAAATTATTGAAATAATTTCTTAGTTTTAGTAACACAAGTACTATATGCATTTTAAAGCACAATACTTAAAAGCATAAATAAGTAAAATCAAAACCATTTTCTGTTCTTCAATATCAAAGCAAAACAAATAAGATCAACTTACTCTAATATATACTTGCATTGTTTCCTTTTCTTTTTGTGGATTTCGGTACTTCTCATAAAAGTCTCGTCGCTTCTTTGTATCTTTTGGAATTTTATCTTTTCTCTCTCTTTTTTCTGCAGGTTCATCTGAGCTATCTGGAGGCAGCTGTACTTGAGCTTTTGTCTTTTCAACCTCAATATAGTTCTCATTCGGATTCAGTACTATTACTCCATAGCCTTCCTGTTCCAGATGAAAGGGTGAAAAAAGGATTTATTGGTTCAAATGTATTGATTGAAGTGATTTTCACAGCACTGACAAAGGAAGCAATAGTTGCATTTCTTTTTTGTTTGCATCTGAATTTTCAGTGACCACTTTTGTTTATTTGTTTGCCTTGCTCCTTACAACTTTACAGTGTTTTATGCAGTTAATCAAAAAGTTGCGAAACAGCCTCCCCCACACTGGATTCCAAAAATTACCAACTTGATGCTTAAATATTAGAAACTGTTACATGTAGGCTGCTTAAATCCTATTGATTGCAAAAGGATTTAAGCAAACTTTGGAGACTAAACTATTAAACATTTGTTCAATTATACTGATAGCAGCAATAACAATGAATCCATTTCAACATGATTATTTGATGCTGCTTTGAAATCAACGAATTAGTTACAAGTTTAGACATGAGCAATTTTATTGGAATTAAATAATGTACTTAAAACTTAAGACAGAGAAAAATATGAGATTTTTGTCATAGAATATAAATTGTAAATCAGTGAGGGATTTACAGAGAGAGGATCTAAAATTCTGGACATTTTGTTTACATCAAAGAAAATAATCTTCATAAAAGAAGGTAAGAGAAGTCAAATTCACATAAACTGTGGATCACCTGTCAACATTATTTCAAATTTCTTTATAACTTTTCAGGAAAAAACATACTAAAGTAAAATAAAATTTTATCTATTTAAAATAAAATCTGTAGCGTGAATAAAAGACAGAAGTCCACCTATGTAGATCATCAATGCTAAGTAAATCTTTGACAATAACAAAAGATACTTTATTTGGTGTTGCTTTATTCTAATCTGTGTAGCTATTCAAAAACCTTGTAATGCATTGTGATAACTGTCAGGTAGACAGATTGTCACTTGGTGCTTTTCTACAGTTGGACACACTCGACTAGCTATTAAAATCACATTTGAAGAAAGTTCTTACTCTTCCTTGTGCCTGTACAAGTTTTCACGCCCTTCTCAAATTTCTACTATACCTTCTCCTCCCACCAAAACTAAGTTAAAGAACACTGTTGCACTCTGTTAAGCAGGGTGAATTAGAGGCATTCAGTTCACTGTCTATGGTATAAGGGAACATGGCAAAAAGGTCACCATAGGTCAAAGAGAAAATTGCCGCCTTCTAGATTCTGTACCATGAGTAAGTGATCTCCTGTCATTTTTTCCTCCTGTCATTTTTCCTTCCAGTTTTCTCTTCAAAACGAACCTATACACTGTATGCTTTGGAAAAGGTTACTCTAATGTATAAAACTGAAATTACACTACAGTTACTATATAAATAGACTCAAATGAAATTTCTGTTAAAAAAATTAGGACTGGGACTTTTACTTTTAGAAGTATAATAAATATACTGAAAAGCAGATTCCTACCTTCATGGCTACTAATAACAGCACAATCTGAAGAGACTACTTTTCTTACTGTTTTAAATAATGACCCCTCCCCCCAATAAAACCTAGTATATTTTTATAAGCACTGAGAAGCTGAAGTAGTTTGCTGCTCCTGTTCATGACTTGGGTTTTTTCCCCTTGTGAAGATAGTCCTTATATTGATTCATTTTATGTTCTATACAATGCAAGATGTAAAATTCATGTATTTGTCATTGTTTTATAGGTATTAGTGAAACCGAAACCATGTTCATTTTTTGCTACTCTCAAAAAAAAAGACACACATAAATCATCAAAGTAGTAAAATTTGTCTAAGTTATTGATTATGTAACTGAAAATTACATGACTCATTTGTCCAATTTTATGAGGACATAATGTCAATTTTTCACAGACACATCAACAGATGAAAAATGAATCCATTTAAAAATCACAGCTACATAAATAAAAGGATTTTTATCAATTAAGTTTTAAATAGCACAAACCATCCTTTAGTATGATTTTAAAACTTTTTTCAATATACTATATTTGTTAAAGTAAAAATAAAAATTAACATAGTAATATTTCAAGAAATTTTATCAGATGTTTCATGTTTCTTTTTAAAAGTTGACTATAATCCTATACTATAAAGAAAGTTGACATTATGTCATACTCTTTTCTTCATTTGTACTCAGTCACTTCCCCTAAAGAATATGAGGAAAAATAGGAACAAGAGAGAGGATTAGGAATAACAGACAATACTTGAACAGATGAAAGGAGGTAGAAATACAACATTATATATATATAACTGGAACAGAATTTAACCTCTATCAATGCTGTAAAGTGAGACCAACATAATCTTATCATAAATTAATTTATGAATTTGACAATATGGTGCCTTATGTTTCCTTTTCACTTTAAAAAAAGATTTAGATTTTTTAAAATTCATCAGAATTTATTGAAATCTTAACCTGTATTCTTTATTAATATGAGACTTTTAAAATAAGCTCAATTTTTAAGGTGAAAACAACAGGAAACTAATTTTGGTGCATCACCACTACATACACAATGTAGACATCAACTTAAACAAAGACTTAAAATATGCAGTCACAATAATACACATCTATAGACGAGTTAAAAAATAACCTTTACAACCTATAATACACATTTTATGAAATTAAACAATACAACTGTTATGATTTGAAAATATCTACTCCCTCAGATGTGCATGCCTATTTAAATCTGTATCTACTAATAATCTGTCTTCAAAATAAGTAGTATAACTGAAGCACTAAATGTGAAAAATACATCTAAAATGAAGGACATCTATAATTTAATATAGTAGATTACTCATCTTTTCTTAGTTAAATGTTTTCAAAGATAATTTTATAATATGAGTAGAATATAGCATTCAACAAGTTCCAAGTTCATCTGCACAAACCAGTTAGTAAAATTAAATGAGACAGATTATACTAATCTCTACTAGTAAAGTTGGCCTTTAACCAATTTTGAGTCTAACTGATTACCAACTGGATAGCCAATTTTATATCATTCAACCATCCCTAAAATGTATCCAGTAAGAGATATACTATAAAGTTATACCTGTCAGATTCCAAAACCTACTGGATTTTGCTAATAAGTTAAATACTTGTCAATTATTTCAGAAACCTTTTAAAGGATGGGTTTCATTTCCAATCTTATATACGTATTCAAATTGATTAATTTAGTTGACTAAATTACAAGCAAGCTTAGACAAGTGTTGAAAAATACTTAGAATTCCAAGAATTTTTGTATCTTAGATCATAGAAACTTCATGAGTATGTTTGGTAATAAAATATCATGGTTATAATAAGGGGAAAAAAAACCCAATTACATCTTCTAATGGATACTTCCACTACCGTGCACACATACAAAACCTATATAGCAGTAAAAGATAGCAGCAGTAAAAATATTTGAGATATATTCTGGAACACTAGAAGGCTCTTGTGTCTGCTGAAATGAATAATGAGCTAAAAGCATTCAGCACAGCATATTAATCTACTAGGATAGGATGCCATATATGACCAGAGAGGTCAGAGGCTAGAGTGGAATCTGTTGACCTGTGTGTCTATCTTTCTGGTCTGTAAGTAAAAATCTGTAACAGATAATTTTCCTGAGCTTTATCAATCTGATTCTTTTAAAAAAATCTATTTAGAACATTTGAAGTACAATCAAGTTATTCCTCCAGGGAAAAGCAATCCAAGAAGCTTAGATCAGTAACCTAGATCTATACATGCTTAAAATGGTCATAGGAATGACTATTCATTGTTTTCAAAGATGTATGATCTGTTTATTTCCGATCTTTTTCATGAGAAGAGTACCTATGTGTCACTGTTGCAACAACCTAGATGCAACAGTAGGATGAGGTCATGACAACCAATCAGAAGTCACTAGTGAAGCGTAAAAGTAAACATAGCTGTTGGAGATGCAGCTCAGCTTGAAAAATGCCCCCTCCATTATTTGAGCAATTTTCTCAAGACGTGACCTGAGACTGAAATGCCTGAAATGTCAGTTGACTTCTTTTTGTATTTTCACCCAATGTGCATTTTGGCAACTGCACCCTGCTAACACTTTGTAATATTTTCATTCCAGTTACACCACATCTCTTAGGCTCCTGCATTCCACTGCTGTGTCCAAGTGTATAAAAATGCTGTATTACTGCCAAACTTCATATTGTTCCACAAAGTTTCCAACTTAAAATAGCTCATCAAGTTAGGCAAGAAAAGAAAACATGCCACAAAAAGTTTTTAGGAGACCACCTGTTGTCTATTATTTTTACATAGCACTTACTCATAAATCATAACACAGGGTAATTAATCAAGCTGTCAAAGAAAAGGTCAAAGGTTACATAGGGGAGTCAGAAGGTCATGCATGGGCTGATAGAGGTCAGGGTCACACCACATTCCTCATTATCAAGTTGGGATGAGAGACGGCCCAAGCAAACAAAAGTGAAAGCAGATGGAGAAGTGAGTGGATAAAAAAGAAAGAAAGAAAACTTGACAAACAAAAAGAAAAGTGAAAGAAGAGTGTCAGCTGCCTTCAAATAAAGGATAGAATAGAACCAAAACACACTGGAATGTGCTCAGAAATATCCTATGCAACATAAGGAAACTATATTTTAATTCTTTAAATCTCATATAGATTAGATAACGCTTTGATGGAAAATAAACAGTATAACTACATATTTTGATTATTTCATACAAATATCGAACAATCTCAAGCAAATCAGGTAAAGTAGTTATTCTGACCATCATCAATTTTTCATAACTCCATTTTCTGGGTATAGCCTATAAAATCATAATAAAATCCTTTTATTTGTATGAAAAATAGTATTGAAATTATACTCTTCAAAACCACAAATGTTCATTAACACAAAGCATCATAAAAGTCCTTCTAGATGACACAAGAGTTATAAAATATTCTATCATTACACTGACCTGAATTAGATGCAGAATAGTGTGCAAAATTAGCTGTCACCCTTTCCTCAAAATCTTTGCTAATCTCATTTTGAATGTTTGCAGCTTTATCAACACATGCATCAATGTCAGCTCCTTGGTTACTG